CTGCACAGTTTTGACTCATAAACAAAAACGGGTACGTCAAAGCTACTTTTTTTGGCTGCTGGGCCCCACGCGTAAGTTTTATAGCTGTCCCTCTGGCTCGTTTTTCTCTCCCGCCATGCCCAGCGATCTCGAATGCAGCGTGTTACAGTAGCAAGAAAGCTGACAGTCACTGGATGCTTGTTTCTATGTTTTGGGAGGTGTGTAAACTCCTCTAAAAATGAATATTTAATTGCTACCTGTATACCCACTGTGGTGTATGAGTTGACATACAGCTAAAGTATGGGGAAATTGTACCTTGCTGGTTGGTTTGCCGTGACTACCTCAGTAACCGGGGAGTCTGTTGGTCAGATTCATCACATGCCTATCACGTTGCTTTCCCATGGCGATATATCCTCACTTCTGCTGGTATGCTTTTCTCTTTGCCTGTAATTTTCAGAAATATCGGCAAGTTGACCAAAGCCTAGCTGGGATCTGTCTATTGATACCTATTATGCCAAATCTGAGTGAACAGAAATTTGTATGATGACTGAGAGTAAGATCAAAGGAATTGCAGCTAGTCCAAACAATGTAGATGCATAGTGAGCTCTTCCTGCTGAGTGTAGGGGTAAAAACATAAAGAGGCCGTTCATTGCAGTCATGATTCACCTCCGCTTCTGCCATTGTCATGAAGAAAGCAATTTCTTCCGCTCGAGACTAGAACCAGGTTTGTGTGTCAGACGCACCGCTTCACACATCATTGAATCATGTCAACCTGTATGGCGTTACCTTTCCCAAGAGTGTGTTGATTTATATGACCTGACTAGCCCAACAGTATGGCAGTACTCTAGTTAACCCTCGCGGCGCGCTGCGCATGCGAGGGTTACTGTAGTTGGCTAGGCTGTGTGTGTCTGTCTGTGTGTCTGTTACTCTCAATCTCACTTCTCGGGTGTTTGTCCGTCTCACAAAGGATACGACCTACTTAACGGGCAATGAAGGTCAGAAACTTCGAACGGTTTTCTCTGAAACTGCTCCGTTGCAAAGCTAGAGCGCGAAAAAGCAGGGTCTGGTCGATCCGCGTGCTTTGCGTACCTCGGAGGCACTAGAAGATGCAACGCAGGGCGTGTATCGCCTCTCGCATGCTATCTAGTAGTGTAGTTAGCCCGCGTCAGACTCTGCGCGAGCTGGGAAGAGACCGCGACTAAAACTAAACCCAGCCCATCAATTAGTGGTACGGCGCATGCGTTTACTTACGCGTGCGCGTCACAGTGCGCCGAGGGTTTGCACTCTGTAGGATGAGGAGAAACACTAAGTTTTGCACTCTAAAGACGAATAATGGAAACCACGCGATATAGGAAGCATTGAGCCCTATAGAGTGTCTTAATTGTGCTAAAAAAGCCACAGCTCCAAGGCCTCGGCCTCCTAAATCCGCGTAGTTAGTTTCTTATGACTCATCGTCAAACTATTAGTCTAGTCCTCTGACAACACCCAAAGAGCCTGGTGAAATCCAGAGGAGGTTGTGCAAACATCATAGATTGTGTCACGTGAGCCTTCGAGCTGTAACGCTCGCCCCCCGGCCATGCAACCCAAGTCAACCCGCTGAGTCAGCACTTTGCACTCTGGCTTTTGCAAGGCTACGACCGTTTTCTGTGGTACATACATAGCAAGTCCCTAGCCCACCTGAAAATCAGCCAGAGCCCCTTTATCTTGAAGCAACTTGATTATATTTTAGCCCGCGCATGTGCAAACGGCTCTGGATTGTTGTGTGCAGCCTCCTCTGGGTGACATTGGGCCAGTTTTCTTTGTTGTGCTGAATCATCAGTCACATGACTGCTGACCAATGGTCTCAGTTCGAAAATGAGGATTTACTCTCTATGTCACTGGAACGAGTCACTACAAGGTTTGAATAACCCGAGGGGGAGGGGCCGACCCACGAGGGTTTTCAAACCGAGGAGACGAGTTCAGTGGTCTAACTGGCTTAGAACCGCGGCACGGAGAGCGCAGTTTCGCTTAGTCTTTTCGATAGTGTGCAAGACCCGTTACCCAGTTGGCTCTGCCCGCCAGAATTTAGGCTGGGAAAGGGCGAAGGCCCATTTGCTCATAGCTTCGAAACTGCCGCCGAGCAGGACGAGTTCATCATACAAGCATCGCAGCAACTGGACGGATATATCCTGCTAGCCCCGCCGGAGCAAGACACTGCCACTGGAGCGCTCAGCCCGCGTCGCTTGATCTGGACGATTTGTTGTTTGTCGCTAGTCAGGGGTTAAATCAGCTACATGCTCTACCGGGAAACGCCTGACTAGCGACCAACAACAAATCGTCCAAACGACGTGCTGCGATGCTTGTATGATGAACTCGTCCTGCTCGGCGGCAGTCTCGAAGCTAGGAGCAAATGGGCCTTCCCAATCCTCGATTATTATGGATTTGACCTTTGTGAAACCTCAGTGATCTAAATTCTTCACAGTGATCTAACTTGCAACTTAAGACTTAGTACTTATATACCTGGCAGACCCAGTACTACGGGTTTTAGACACTTGATTACTACGACTCAACATCAAAGGGAATTATTCATGAGAGGTTCTAACCTCTATTTTTACCCTTGATACTCAAATAGCTAATCATGACACGAAACCGTATGGGTCTGGACACACCTCAGCAAGAGAAGAATGAAGAGTGGAAAAACTCATCGGTTTCTGCTGTTGCTCGTCCTTCCAGCCAGCCTTCAAGAGTCATACACCTTAGCATCAGTTGCTGCTGGTCTCTCTCTGTCTCTTGACATATATGCAGCAGCAGAGCAGACATGCGTGCGCGTGCGCGTGCGCGTGCGCGCGCACACCCGAGGTGCTGATTCAGCAGACCAACTCTATTTCAGCGGCGAAGCTAGAGGAGGGCCTTGCTTGGCAACCAGCGCGACGATAGACCAGTCCGTAGACATCACAGAACGGGTGAAACATGACCGTCCGCACCCTGTGGAGAAGGACTGCCTTTTTCAGCTGTTTCCTGATGGTCGTTGGGATCGTTGAATACGTGGCGGTGGTGCAGTTGCACGGGTCCCTGCAGGTCGGGGAGAGGGAGGAAGAGCGGTTGCTGGCAGGCGGGCGGTCTTTCACGTTGCTCGAGAGAGAATCGGAGCGGCTGCAAGAGGCACCGATGCAGGTCGCCGGGGATTGGAGAGGTCGGAGGCGAGGAGGGAGCGAGAGAGTTCACGGTGGAGGGGAAGTAGCCAGTGAGAACTTGGACCCGCCAGAGGTGAGGTTAGCTCGAGAACTGCACGACCTACGAGTGGACCGCCTCAGAAACTTTGACCAGAGGCCGGGCTCCTTTCTTTCAGACCAGTGGAAGAGAAACTTTGACACCAGTAGAAAGAGCCAGCTACTAGCTGATCAACAACAACTCAAACACAAACTGGGAGCTGGGAGCCACAACCAGAGATACTCAGAGATGCTAAATCTCTCTCGTCTAGTTGACGAAATCTTGTCTCCAGAAGGGAAAGGACACAAAGCCCTCAGACAGTTCTTTGAAGAGAACGAGGGAGACAGACTCAAAGAAAAGCTGGACAAACTCTACGATATTTACACAGCAAAAGGACAGAAAGGTTCAACAACAAAAGATGCAGTCACAAGTGATAGAAACTATGAAGATGACTACACAGACCTGAAGGACTCAGAAGAAGAAGAAGAAGAAGAAGAGGAAGGGGAGAGAAAGAGAGTTTTTGATCCACAGGATTTTATCGTGAGTGTTGGAGCCGACGGGCTGCTGAATGTCTCACGTAAGCCCCTCCCACCTGAAGTACTGGTGGAGAACACGACTTCCCCACCCATAAACATGATGTCATCCGAGAAGGCTGGACTGAATATCCTGCTCACCATCAGGTACTATCATGTTTCTTGACAGTGTATCGCCTTTCTGGTGGGTTTTGGACAGTTGCCAGTGATTTGTGCTGGATTAATCAGTTGAATTGTGTTTGCCCCCACACACACATTAATTAATAACAGTTTGCAGGCAGCTTCCATGTTTCCCTCGAGTGAGTGTGTGTATATAGTCGTAGGTAGCTCTAGAAGTCCAATTTGTAAGTTAATTTTTACTATAAGGGCAGATGGTTTCCTCAACAAACATGTTTCCCTTTTTCCAAAAATGTAGTGTTTGCATATACATAATAGGGTGGATTTTAGCTGCCCTAAACTGTAAGTATTACAGCTAGAGTTTGTGTTGATGAGATTATGCAGCTTCTATGTTTGTGGTAGCCATTGAAGCTAGTCTTTACGTGTCTTGGCACAGGACAACAGTGAGTAACCACAGAAAGAGGCTGCCTCTACTGTTTGACACGTGGCTCACCAAGGTCAACACCAGTCAGGTGTTCCTGGTCACCGATGGAGATGATCCCTTCACTAGACTCTGGACCAGCGTCAAAGGTGTGGCACGTTTGAGGATCGCAGTAGGCTTCTGGGGTATTACTGAGCCCATGCACGTGTGACTTGACTATTTGTAAGGTGACCATTTTGTACCAAACAGTGGATGCGTGCATGCTTTCACATCGAACAGTTGATGTTTACTACTGTATGTACTTCCATGCTTCCACTAACATGTATGTATAATTATACCTGGTCTTGAAACTGTTTTTGGGAAACGTATGTACATTCTTTTCCCACTCTCTGCTGTGTTATACAAATAACTGTCGGTGTTTTCTTTCAATCCTTTCTCTGTATACGTATTTCTCCCCCATAGGAATACACTACGTTGACGCCAAGTGTGGCAGCAGCTACTCTCGGTGAGAATACGTTGGACTGTGCACTTATGATGATGTCATTTCTACGAGGGGGTATAATTATTTGGCCCTTGCCCTGTATCGTTAGGATACATTACTTGAACAAAAATTACAAAGGTGCCTTTTCCTGCACTGTGTATGTATGTATGTACTTGTATGTATGTATGTATGTATGTACTTGTATGTATGTATGTACTCTGTGGGAAACATTGCTTTTCGAAGACAGATCGGTCTCACTATAGGCAACACAAAAGTATCCTCCTAATTGCTGTCTCTCCAATACCCATATGTACCTACATGTGCTAATGAAACTACATGTACTAGTGAAGGAATATTATGTGCTTTGAATACAGGTGTGAAGGTTGTATTTCAAAAAGCAGTGGCTCCCACTTGGCACTCCCACCAACCCAGTATAAATAATGGCAGAATAGGTAGATAGAGAAAGAAATAGGAGGGAGGGACACTAAAGCTCATTGTCAATGAATCCCACTGTAAGTAAGAACAGCATACAAGCCTAGGGTTTGCCAGCAGTTTTGGCTGTACTTCCATGTGTTGACTCTATTAACAGGTCTTTTAGCCCATTCCTCGCCAGAGAAGGCAAATTGTGAAACCTGGCATCACTGATACATACATACATACAAACATACAGTGTGTATTATTGCCAAGTAAAGCTAGTGCGTAACCCAACTAGTCCACTGAATTGCCCGATTTTACTGATTCTGTATAGACGATGTTGTCTGTACATAAAACTGCCTAAAATTATACTCACGTTCACCTTGCCAATATTGTTTGCATTTTGTCGAAGTACTGTATGTATAGCAACAGGTGTCCTACGTTATATGTTGACCATAGATTGGTTGCTGTTGTGTATAGGAAGCTGTTTTCCTTGAGTAGTGGAATTTTCCATAACTGTACGAATGTTTACAGGGTGTGATCTGACATGTACATGCAGTACCCACTAATGGTAAATCAGGGCCACTCCCTGTAGTCATATTTGTTAATTGACCTCTATTTGTGGCTACACTGGTGCTCATTCCAATGATAATTCTAACCTTTAATGTCGTAAAATCATCTATAGCTGTTGCAATGTGTGTGCATTTGAGAAGTGGAAATACTTTGGTACCATTTCTTTCACAGAGAGCATCTATGCTGCAAGGCTGGCGTGGAGTTGGCCCTCCTGTTTCAAAAAGAGAACACAGCGTTTGAGTAAGCCAGACTGCACCATACATACAGTACGTGACTGTGCACGCAGAGTAAGGCCTTTATAGTGAATAATGGTTTTGCAAAGTGAAATTTGGTGTGCATAATCACTTGTTGGTATGTTGTGACTGCCCATGTCTGTCACTAACGTAGTGACTGCATACAAGAGAATGTGGTCCTATGGGGCCTAATTATGATGCACTCTTCACCAAAGTCACCAATATTGAATTTACGTAGGTTTCTGCATTGCTCTAACATGTATGTATGTACATACTAACAGCAACTCACAACTCTGTAAACGTATTATGTAGGTCACTGCTGCACAGTCGCCAAAACTGTTACATTAGTAACATGTGTATTATACCGTATAATACTACTGAGACTTGAGTCACTAATTAGAGTATCTCTATACAAGGCCTGTGATATTTAATTTGGAATTGTTTGTTCGAGAGTTAACTTTATCGAGTCAATGTTGATCTGTTGCAGCTGGCTGTGTCCACGTGGACGACGACATGTATGTCAATATGAGGAACCTGGTGCCACTGTTGTCCCGTTTTGACCCCAAGACTGAGCCCATATATCTTGGAAGGTTAGTCAATCAATGCCCTTTGTGGAGCCTGTTTGAGTGGGTAAATATTTAATGGGTGTGTTAATAGTGGAGACATTATAACACGGTGTTTTGAACATCACTCCTGATTTTATTATTGTGTTCCCTTATCGGAGGTTCCCTTATCGGAGGTTCCACTGTATATATGTACATCCATGTCCCTGCCTTGTGCACGGCATTTGAGATGGGATAGTGTGTTGTGAGTATGTACCTGGACTGTCTTGTTGTATCCATGCTCAGGTCGGGGTCCATGTGGGGTTCTCCGAGGAGAGTCAAGAAGAAGGCGGGGCTGAGTCTACCGGGAATGAAGTACCACTTTGCAGTGGGTGGCATGTACTGTCTCAGTAGAGCCATGCTACACAAGACCATGAAGTGGATCGTGTAAGACCTCGAACCTTGGACATTTACATACAAATTATACATACATACTCTGTGTATTTAGATGAGTGTTAGGCTACTTCCTGTGCTTGGACCCTTTACTTCCTCCTAATTAGAATCCCCAAGCTGTGTGAATGTATGTAGTGGGCCATCTGCCAGCACACTTTAGCTGTAGTATGCAGTGCATTAGCCTCCAGAGGTCCTGGTACAGAGGCTGCAGTGCATGCACCCACTTAAGTTTACAACTGCATGTATGAACCTCTAAAAAAATAACACTATGGGGCCAACTTTGTCGGTACTCCCTATCTAATATATACTCTAAAGTAGTAGCGTTGGGTTGAAACAAGTGTCCTTGTGGAGAGGTTGTCCCTATCTCAGAGGTAAAATAGTACACTAAAGTAGCATCGGGTTGATATAAGTGTACGTTGTAGAGAGGTTTTCCCAATCTCGGAGGGTTCCTTATCAGAGGTTCCATGTCCCTGCCTTGTGCACGACATTTGAGATGGGATAGTGTGTTGATTGTCTGTTTGGCACATTATCTCAGTGATTTGTCCAACACTCCCCCTCTACAAAGACGTGCATACACAGCCGCCATTATTGCTTGTGATGTCGATGTGTCCCCCTCAGAGGTGGAGAGGCCTTCTCAAAGTCGTGCTCACTCACCAGAGAACCTGAGGATGTCACTGTCGGCTTCATTGTCGGTCAGTTATAGTTCATTAAACAATACCTGCACGACATGCACAGTTATATAGAGAGGGCTACCAAACCTAAAGTACCAGTATTTATACAAAGGCTTTATAAGAAAATCTGGGACTGACAAAAATTTTGGATGTTAGTGATCTCTGCATGTGTGGTTACATATACAGTGCTATCTTCAAGAGATTAGTAATATCAGTATGCCAGCCAATACCGGCGTAAAGAACATCCAAGTGTTGGCTATAATATTTCACTGTACTATGGGTCATTGCTGCTTGTTTTATATTGTCTAGCCCTGTTCCCTTATAACGTTAGTAAACCCTGCTTTATATGCCGTACTCTGTTAAACTGGTTATGGGTGGTGTCTCTTGATCAAGGTATAGGTCCCTTCTCATGCATTATATGTATCTCACTGTCGTGTAGCGATGCTGAACTACAGTCTGAGTAGGACGGAGAGAATCAACACACACGGTCTTCACCTGGCCAGTACTGTTGATCCCAGCACTCTTAATGAACAGGTGAGACATTTCCTCTGTTGACAGCAGAGCACCCACACATACACACATACATACATACATACATGTGAGACATTTGGTTAATTGAATTGTCGGAGGCTTACTTGCCAGGCGGTATATACTGTACTACATTAAGTCTTTCCTATTCCTTGTATGTAGGTAGCAATCTCATATGGTTATGGCTCGGTGCACTGGGGAGAGGACCCATACAATGCTGTGTTTGTACCTGATGGCCTCTTCTCTCTGGAAGAAGATGAATCACAGTGAGCACTACACTCTCTGCATAGTTTTTTTTGCGCGCTCATACGTGTGACTCGATCCTTGTTTGATGAAATGGTAAAATCACACTTTCCACTCAGTCAGTAATGTGACATGCTATAGGCCCTGCTGAAACATTATTATAATAATATACAATGGTGAACGTTAAATACTTTGCCTAGGGATTGTGTGATTGGGGGGGTGGTGTCAGCGTGCTCACATCTGTTCATAAACCAGGCTCATGTATCCGATCCGTCTTACATCATTACCAATCATTAGTTGGCATACCGTCTTTGAGTGTGTCCTAAGAGCATTATGGAATGTTAATACAAAACACTGCCCGTGTGGACAGAGAGACTGCTGCCAGCAATCCCTACCCTATCACTAGGTTTCGGAGTCTGCATTGTCTGCTGTATCCCACCATCTCGTGGTGTGTCCGTCAGCATAACCAACTGCAACAGCTGCGGAGCCACTTCTACGACAACTTCAACTATGACGACAATTAGGACTGGTAACCACTTCAAGAAGCTCTCGCCACCGATTTAGGACTTCCCTCCGTCTTTTCATGGCAGTCACATACGTAATTACTCCGTCACCTCACACGTTTCTTTTATACCCACCACCATTAGGTATATAACTCTCCCCAATAGATGGTCATTTATACCAACTTCATAATAATAATATTACTCTGCAGTCACTTACAGTGTCACCAGCTTCAGTATATACTCTATCACGTTGCTGCCTATATATATACATAATTGTGCAGCACAGACAGTGTTAGTGGTCCAGTGGAAAGTAACTATACATGTGAAAGTGGTTGGTTCAAATTGCAAAGGTATGATAGAACCCTTCTTACATGTGCTCCGCTTCCTAACACATTTTTCAGCCTGCCTGGAATAAGATCGCGGGATTAAGATCGCACAAATGCAGAAATGATTTTTGAAACAGGTATATATTAAGTGTGATTGTGAGAGTACGACATTAAGCTTTTTCCTCAAGCTGTAGATGGAGAGGTCTCCACTAGTCCACACAGTCATCCCCATAAACCTCTCCCGCAGCATCTCCATGAACCTCGAGTCTCTCTTGTAGCGGTACTTGCAGGACAGCAGCACCGTTGTCCTGTTGTCACTCAGGTCAGCCATACTCTGGATCAGGACGGGGAAACTGTCCTCGATGTACACCACGTCGGCGGCTAGCAGTACGTCGTAGGGTGGCCGGAACGTGGCGACGTCTTGTCCCCAGCTCAGTTGACGCACAGCGACGGGTCTCAGGGGGTCAAGATTGTGGGAGTTCAGTTTTAGGTTACGTTCAGCGGGTCCGGTGTTTCGGTCAGTGACATCCACACTATGTGCTCCTATTGTAGAGAAGATAGACTACGGTATATATACACTCATGTCATTAAATGAAGAACGGTAGAAGTACCGTGCCAAGCGCTAAGAGAGTAGAATGGTCACTTTTTTTCACTCTGCCCAACCATATATTATTTTCTCAGTCGTACTGTAAGTAATCCACACAAGCGACATGTGATCCTCAATCATTGCTGATTGGTACAAAGGCCACGAAGAAGAGAACAACCAACTTCTGTCGGGAGTCCCATCAGGCATCATGACTGGAACCCCAGTGTGCTATACATAATATACAACTCCCAGAAAAAAGCTGAGTCCAAATACCTCTAATACAGTACAGTGCACTAGGCACTGAGCTACAAAAAAGTTGGTTCTTTCTCTAAACCAGGTCAACATTGCAAGACCAGGGCAACACTGACAGTACAGGTACATTGTGGATTGACTTACCAAGACCATGAGCCACTAGACCAACCAGCCCAGTCCCAGCCCCCAACTCTATCACTCTCTTTCCTCTCACTAGTTGAGCACCATCTTCCTCCAGATAGCGACACAGTGCCAGAGCCTGAATCAACACACACATTACTCTCAAGATTTGACGGAGAAAATTGAGTTTTATATTGAGGTGGGGACTTTGTATTGCTGGACAAGTAATCTGGAAGATAAATTAGCTTTGTCCCTCTATGTAGCTCACCGGCTCCCACACAACAGCAGCGACTCCAATACTGTCCCAGTCTTGCTGTATGATCCACTCCCGACTAGCAAACTCCACCCTCCTCTCCTTCTGCTGTAGCGGCTGCAGAAACTGCGGGGGACTGTATACCACCAGCTGCTGATCCCAGCCTGGATTGGCGCCCTCCCCTTCGTGGCACACTGTCTGAAAACAATCACAGCACTTGCTACACCACTGACAATTAATCCTCACACGTTTCTGCAGCCTCTTTGCACTGATTCGTAGTGCTAGGATGCAGTAGAGCCATCATGCAGGCTACAGCTACAACAGTCTGCCAAGAACGGAAAGCGGACATGGCATGAGTGCGCACTTATTAGAATGGTGCGCACCAATTAGATTTTCGCCCAATCACTCTGACGTCGTCATTTCAAAAGAGAGACCTAGGTTGTTAGGGAGGTGAAGTAGGGGACCTAGTGTCGAATATTCAGCGTCCAAGCTGGCTCACTTACGTTCTAGACGTCGGCAGTACCCGTCGGAAAGTTCGTATACTCCCGGAGCGACCGTTCTCCAGCCGTCTGGCCAGCAGCAGTCTTCATTGGGCGGCACCTCCGCGTCCCCCTCCCTTTCCTCGTCTTACTACCCCACCCAGTCTCTCCAGTCCGACGCCATGACGGGGAGAGACAGAACAGCAGAGTTTACTTCAGTTGTCCACTCCCTCCAATCCTATCATGTAAGCCAACTGTATGTACCCAAAATGATGATGTGAAATTTGTATGGGGTTAACAGGATGTATTGGATGCCTGGACATTAGTAGGTGTAATATAGCCTTCGTTTCTGGGTGTGTTAACAGTTTGCCATCACATTGGGCAAGAAAAACTCTTCCAGCATGTCATCACCGCCCAAAACACGACACACCCCATTGTGTATCATCCAACCACATGCGTGTGAGCTGAGCTTATGGCACTACTCAATAATAGGCCCTTCACCAACATCAAAAGCTATGAAAATTTGTTGATGATAAATTACGAATCTCTCCTTGTGTATATACGCAGGCTCCGACATCCATGACTCCCCATCCGAGAAGAAGGCAGTCTGAAATAATGGCTGCAGCCAAGTACGTTACAACCCTTTTACGTCTCATTTACTTCATGGTGCGGTACACTTGCTCTTGCTCTGCAGGAAGATTGGCTATGACATCAACTGTACCTCCACAAAGCTGGAGAAACTTACAGAATGTGAGTGTGTACAAGAGTCTGCCAAATATCAACCCTCCACCTCATTCTCAAGAGTTGTTATATACCCTGGCAGAATGTTGGGTTACACCCTCTGACGGCTTTGAAAAGCCAAAAACTAGCATATTTGCTCTCTCGAACTTGCACTACGAAACACCGTAGCCCCTTCATAGATGTCTGAGTGTTTCCTCTATTGCAAATGTACTGTGGTACACCTTCATAGGTCACCAAAGACATAATCTTTCCTCTATCTTGCACACCAACTACTGTAGTCTTGTGCTCTTTAGGTTGAGTTGTTTGTTATTTGATCCATGTTTCTGCTGCTGTATGCAGTGGCCCGGGGCAGAAGTCTGTTTGGAGACCCCACGGCAGACATCCAGGAGCTGACTCAGGTCATCAAGCAGGACCTCTCCAAACTAAACTCAGACATCAGCTCCCTCCAGCAGCAGGCCAGGGCAGAGTCGTACGGCGACAGCAAACACATGAGGACCCACACCTCGTCTGTTGTCATCTCTCTACAGGTGACCTGCCATACTGTGTGGTACATAGTAACAACTGCCTCTGAATGTCTAGCTACAAGGAGAGATGCTAGTATTTTACATTGCCTTCAGGTGAAGCTTGCCAACGTGTCCCAGGATTTCAAGAGTGTTCTAGAGCTCAGAACAGAGGTAATGTGCAACACTGTGCAGTATGTACGGGTCTATACTAGTGCATGCCAGTAGATGTATTATACTGTTTTGTTTGGCTTGAGTGAGTCTGTGGCTGTATCTAGTTACCTTTGACTTACTTTGTGTGCAGTCAGTGTAAACTGTGCAACCACCTATATAGGCCAAGAAAGTAGTTGTGCTTGTAGCATTCACACACATCCGTTATGGTGGTGGGTCATCTGTAGATGCAGCAAGGCGAGAGCATAATAAGCTCTGAGACACTTCTGCTCTTGTGTCGTAGCTGGCGGGTGATGCGTTCTTACAACTGGGATTGAAAGTGGCCAAGTATTTCCATAGGACTCTTTGTTTTGAACCTGAAGTAAGCAATCCACAGAGGTGGCCTTTGTTTTTATGTAGGACAGGTTGCTCTGTACATTAGCATTCTCTTGTGTTTGCTGTCCCATTATTCAGTCTTAGTGTATGTGTATGTTGTATTAAAGTGTGTTTGTCTTGATGTTATCTCAGAACCTAAAGCAGCAGAAGCAGAGACGTGAGCAGTTCTCTGCCTCTCCAGTCACCTCTTCGTATCCTCCCATGGAGAGAGATGGTAAACCAGGCTTTCTTATAGGAATTCTTTTAAGGGAGGAACTGGGTTACAGTATACATACTTACTCATACTTAACGACATTTTCTGTATTTCAGTCAAATTATGTATGTACGTTAATCAACCACACTGTCAGGGATGTCGAGGTCAGTTCTACTGAGCAGTGACCAAACGGACAGTCATGTGGGTATTGACATGGACTCCCTCAGAAGACAGCAGCAAATGCAAGTCATCGAGCAGCAGGTACACTATGCTACACTTTGCAGTCCAGTGGTTAGAGTGGCAAAACTGCATTATTGGTCAGTAGCTTTTGAAGTGTCACGGAAGAACATTTCGCAGATAGCTTGTGCATTAACGCAAGGTGATTGCACACCTTTCTTGTTACTGACAAAATGTGTATAGTGCAATGGAGGAACTGTGTAAGTTACTGGTTAGTGACAGTTCACTTCCACCGTCAGAGGAAGTAAGCAAGCGGGCTCTTTGAATAATTATTACAGACAGTGTATGTTGTAGTAGATGATGTGACATTGTATATACATCATCACTGATCACTGGCGAGCGAAGGTAGTCATTTACCTATCACCACACACACACACACATGGTATTATAGTTGTTCTATTATTTCCAAAATGCTCCGTATTACACTCGCTTGCAAAATATGTTTCATCAGTCCTATGTACATGTAGATGATTTGTTTGTGTGTTTGATGGTGTGCAGGATGCCTACATCCAAGAGAGGTCAGACGCCATGGAAAACATCCACTCCACCATTGTGGAGCTGGGCACCATCTTCAGACAGCTGGCAGAGATGGTCCAGCAGCAAGAGGAACAAGTGGCCAGGTGAGTGAGGGAAACCCTGCCGTTATTATTAATTGACGGCCGTTTGCTGTCTGAGATCATCAGTATGGTTTCACCTGTAATGCTCACTAACGATGACTGATGAGCAGTTTTCGTGGTCTCTTAGCTCACACTAGTTACTCTATCCACAGTATATGAACTACTATGTGTGAAACCAGTGAGTGTATGTTCCTATCCCCTCCCTACCTTCCTTCTACCTGTGGTCTGTAGGATAGATGATAATGTCGAAGAAACCCTCACAAATGTAGATGCAGCACACACAGAACTTCTCAAGTATTTCAAAGGCATAACTTCCAATCGTTGGCTCATGTTGAAAATATTTGGTGTCATATTGGTCTTCTTCATCTTTTTCGTTGTTTTCTTTGTATGATCAAACCCATCATGTGATATGTAATAGTATGATACAATTGATACGGTAACTAACACTATTCGTTAATGAGGTAATGCATCAATTTTCCAGTGCTGATGGTTCCTACTGGGTTTTTGGTGAGTGGTACTCACATGAATCACACACCAGGGGGACAGGGCGCTCGTGTGAGAGAGAGCCTGCGAGCATCTCCCGTAGCTTTTCCTCGAGGCCAAAGAGGTGATTGTCTCGTGCATGAGGGAACGTCTCTCTCATGGTGCGGGCAAGGTTCAGAACGTACTCCACGTTGCACCCACTTGGTCCGTGGGACTCGGCCACCTGTCGGGCAATGTCATCCAGGGAGGCCGGTCCGAGGTACTCTATGTTGGTCTCGGTGGCAATGTAGACCAGGACGGGGAAGGGGGGAGTGTCCTTGTGGCAGGGGTGGAACGTGACGTGGTGGGTTGTGTAGCCGCCTTTTTCTCTGTGGTCCAGGTGAGGGAGTACGCTGCGGTCAGTTCTGAACGCCACACCCCACGTCACCTCCTGCACACAACAGCAATGTACAAAAAGGTTTACTCCAGATTGCGTAGTTGACAGTGCTCAGGTATTGCTCACAAATCGGTAGTCTACCATTACCTCTTGTGCTTCCACCAAAGTCACCACTCGGCCTGGCTGAGAGAATACGTAAAATAGAGTTTTATTCTAGGCGAGATCAAGGGCTCACCGCTCCAGGGATTCCTCTGTGGTCGGTGCTGCCCTGCCAGAATCGTCGAGCAAAGCCCTTCACGTGACCCACCACCCTCTCGCGGTAGGGAAAGTCCGCCTTCCACGTCAGAGATCCGTACCCAAACACCCAAATCCTCTCGTCTTCTCCGCTGCAGTTTTGCATCGTGATCGCATGTCCGTAACTAACTCGCCCCGCCCCATTTTCAGAGAGCTGCTGCGCATGCGCATTATACGAACTTGAAGAACAGAACTGCTATGATCCAGCAAAGTATGAAGGCTCAAACACACCACTACATCATGCTGCACTCAGAGGAAACCTGCCTGTATATACAATACACTGTTTTTCATAGGACAACAGAGTCTGATTCCCTGTTGTGACTGCCAGTTTCGACTTCTGCACTACTACTACTACTGCTATTGATGCGTCCAACAACAATGCCGTCAACTCTCAGCAGTCTTTGTTCTGCCAGTGAAGAGGAAACCAGCAGTTCTTTTATCCTGGCTTCCAGGGAGAACAAGTGTTCGTCGTTCACCTCTGGTGCAATCTCTCTCATGGACGAGGCTAGATTCAAAACGTACTCTGAGTTTGATCCACTACAGCCTCTGGTGCTCACAATATCCCGGGCCATTGTGTCTACCGATGCAGGTCCAAGATATGACGGACTCTTGTCTGTTCCAATGTATGCGACTACTGTCATCGGTTGCATGTCTCTTCTCTTGCATGGATAGAAAGTGACCTTGTGCATCGAATAGCCTTGCTCTCTGGCGTTCAGGTAGGCAACGGTATCGCACACTTCTGATGCGTTAACCTTGAATGCTACACCCCATGTCGACTCTTTATCCTTCTGAACAAGAGTTGCCACTCTACCAGGCTGCAGGGAAAGAATAATTTTGGGAGCCATTACTTGGTCAATTTTGTACTATATATGAGTATTATTTTCGGTATAATTATAGCTTCTGCACTAAAGACTTTGGGTTTAGGTATGCATTTTCTGGGAAGGTTATGACCTGCAGGCATAGCTACCAAAATAATTTCATCGTGCACCCCATTGCCAAGGCTAAATTCTTACTGCTCCGGGGACTCCTCTATGGGCCACGTCTCCCTGCCAAAACTTTCTGGTGTAGCCTCGCACGCGACCCACCACCCTGTCCTCGTACGGGAAATTTGTCTTCCAGATGAGGGATCCGTAGCCGAATACCCACAGAGGAGACGCTGGGAGAGGCGATGGCCGAGTGACGCCGTTCCATCTTATTCTCGAAGATGCTCCATCTTTGCTTGCGAAGCTGTTTCTTGCCAGTTGTATTGTTCCGCCGGTCATGATATAATATAGCGATCGGAGACTTTTCACTCCACAATCTCTTGCTTATTGCGTGCAGTTTGTTTTATAGTTGAGACCTTCAGCATAATCTGTGGGTGGAGTGGAAGTGATGCAAAGTCACGGAGATAAACTTACCAGGAAAGTAAATGTGGATCAACTACTGAGAGTCTACACAGCCGAGCTTTCCGATCCGAGACGCGCGCAAACGCGGTTGTCGCGAGAGACACATTAATGCGCATGCGCACATCGGCTACGGATTGGTGACGTCACGATGAAGCGAATTTGTGTGGAGTGTGGGAGGGAGAGTGCAGACGAAGAGCTGTACAGGGAGTTCAGTGGGGGCACTATTCAGCTCAGTCAGTGTGTAAGTCTCCAAAACAACATGAGGGGACAGTTAGATTCCCTCGTATCATCCCCAGGCCCACTGTCATGGATTCCTCGACAAGTATGTGGAGTTTGACGCAGTCATTCTTCTGTTGGACGTCCTGATGCTGCGCGTTCAGTCATATCGCCACCTCATATTCAACCACAGCATTTCAGACTCAGTCAGTCCATAGGTATTAGACCATCATCTTTGCAAAATGGACACGGTCACCATTGACCAAATATAATCAACACATTTCCTGACTCATTTCAATGAGACTTCCTGAGTAATTGTGTTACTGTTGCAATATTGACCTTGATATCCACTGTGATTGTGTCCTTATTAAATTGTGAGGAGACTTAGGGGGGGCATAGTAGCTGCCTCGTTCCTTTGAACACTTCCACCATTATAGGCTCTCAGTGTTCCTGTTGGGGGCTGACCATGTGTGCCTTGTATATGGCTGAACAATGTCTTTTTGGTACCATGTGAACGTGGTGGTTGTTCATTACCTGTGAGTGGTTCCCACCCCCTCTCCTTATACATGTTTCCAGGTGTTATGCAAGTGCAGTGTTGCTGTTGTTCTCTGTGATACCTATATCCTACCACATAATGTCTTCTTCGGTGTTATGTTTGAATCACAACACATCAGTGCACACGTTTCTCCTGAACTGCTGAGCTTGCTGTTTTGTGTACTCGATGCATGAGTAGCTCTATTCCGTGTAGTCTCAGGTGCAATCGTACACATGTCCTTAACTACAACACATACCAAACTGCGTATGCTGCACTTGGATTCCTCGGACTCTACTGTTCTCCAGACCCACTTCCATACTTTTCTTCTACAGGCCATAGTGGGTGAGGCACAGTTAAATGGTGTCCCCATGTCGTGTCAAGGTTACCTCCAGCAGTTGAGACTGCACTACCGAATTTCAGCTTCTTAGTGTGTATATCTGTCACACAGAATTTGTTGGTGTCCTATGTTTGAGCTACTACCTCATCAGAGTACTGTCACCTACGAGCAAGTTAGTACTTCATCTCCCAACTGCTCACCACCTATGCCCACCCCTACACACACACACACACACTATGTAGGTGCTCTCTCCATGATGTCTCCCGTACTCTGGTACTGGCAAGCTGTGGTCGACTGAGTGGTCTGGCGGCCATGGTGTGGACTGGGGATTTCTACCTCTGGATTCCCTGGCTCCTCACCATCCCTGTCCAATACAGGCATTCAGAGGTATATTCTGTACTTTACATACACTTTTGCTACTTGGAACAGTTCAAATTGTGTATGTAGCTCTGCCAAGCTCTAAAGTGGGAGTGTGTTTTAAAAGCCATATATAGCATTTGTATCAAAAGCCAGTCTCTTTGACTCCTGCCTTTGAATACATCACTATGTCTTTGTGTTGGTTGACTAGCTGAAATGATCTCACTGCTCTCAGTGTGTGGTACATCCACACTGTCATCAGACAGATTGCTTCCACTGTAATGATACGGTGGAACCCCTCTAATCTTGTGTCCTTAGAGGAGAGAGGAGGTTTCGCTGTGTGGTCGAGATGTACGTACGGGATGAATCTCCTTTACTGTGTGTGGGTCAGTGTATTATTGATGCTGTGTCTGTACAGCACTGCTGAATACCTCACTTCTGAAGAGTGCTACTCTAGTCTCCATACTGACACTATCTCTACTGCTGGCTGGTGTGGCACTGGGCAGACTCAGGGATACTCTACTATCGTTACTTTATCCTTGTCTGACATTCACTACATCTATCAGCATTGAATTGAAATGAAAAGTCAAACTGCAAACTATATATATACCAGGCGTAAGGTTCACATTACCACTGATATATAATGATAAGTAAATTAATAAACATGACATTAAATCAAAATATTCAAAAAAGTGTGGAATATAATTATGGATGCCATAAAAAGCAAGGAGACAAGACAGGGATGACCTAGTGAACATGATGCAGTAGCAATGGATGATGGCTACATTCTTTGAACTGACATCACTTGCTCCTGTAAAATTTCCTCCACACAAGCCCTCTATTGTCGCGAAGTACGAGTGTGCTCCCTTATATGATGCACAGCTACGATTTATTTCATGAGCACATTAGACAGGTAATACCATCTACTCGCTAAGACTTCTACATTTGCTCAACTAACCAGTTTTACAATGCTGCATTCTTGGCCATCTACATACAGAATCCTTTCACCATTGTCCTCGTACTTCACTAAACAAACAGTAAAGGTGGCGACAATAGAGGGCTTGTGTGGAGGAAATTTTACAGGAGCAAGCGATGTCAGTTCAAAGAATGTAGCCATCATCCATTGTACTACTGCATCATGTTCGCTAGGTCATCCCTGTCTTGTCTCCTTGCTTTTTATGGCATCTCTATATTCCATACGTTTTTAATTCGAAAAGGGGATATTTTTGGGCATAAGCCCATAATAAAAGTAACATTATAGTGGCCTTAAGCTATCACCTCAGACGTTTTGTCGTCATTCACATTGCATCAGTGCACCAGGTTTCATTGTGAGAGGACCATCATAAACAAGTTATAGGCACTGACACCATTTAAAAGTATTTTTGCCTTTGGCTGTTTGTTGTTGTTTACAACCCTGCAATTTCTGTTTCGATGAACTCTTATATATCATGGCGGGGTTTTATTGCCGGAGGCTGTTTGTTGTTGTTTACAAACTTGTAATGTTTACATTTTGATACTAATGATGGGTTGCATGTGTGTACAAAGTTTTATCATTCTGGGTATTTGCTCTACCTAGTTAGCACACTTCATTGGTCTATTTTGTTTTTTTGTTGTTTACAAACAAATTGAAATGCTCTTGCACGACCTGTCATGGATTCCAATCTTTGTGCAAAGTTTCATCTCCATATCTTAGCTGGTTTTTGAGATATATACGCTTATTGAAACCCTGGGATGCTGGGTTTAGCTATATACCCTATAAAGGAATGTGGCAATGAAACTCAATTTTCACTGTGCCCCTATTGTTTTGTTCTATCTTTAGTAACACTTCTGAATTTATTCCTTATCACTGCCACCTTCTCTTCAACAGGGTCAGCAGAGAACGTATCTGCTCACAGATCAGAGATCACTACCCAACAGACTATCAAGTGACTGGAAATACTCAAACCACCCCCAACACCGGTTAATCTAGCACCATGGCTCCTATCTTTTCTCTGGGTATGAGATTGGTACCCCTAGTGTGCTATGGCTGCCACCTACATGCACATTCAATGACTCACACTTGCTGCAGTTATCTTTCTGGCTATTACAGCTCCTAGCTTGTCCTGGGTCTCAGCTTCTACCATTCTATGTCAGAAAAGTCACGTACTGAGGACATTTGAACATGGTAACAGCTACAAATACAGAGTTGGCCCGGCCCATATGTGTAGATTTTTGCACACAGGATTTTGTCCTTTAACCTTTAGCTCTGGAGCTTTATACACACTATGTATATGTGAACTCACAGATTACTCTTGCCATTCATCTTGTCAGGAACATGACTGAGATTTGCTGGATTTATAACGTGGAAGACATTATAGACCTTCTTCTTGCTGAAGTTCAACAATACATGTGACCTTGAGCTCCAGTCTTAGATTGCGGATCATAACAGAAAAGTGCTTCACACTGACAAGACTTACGTAATACTTCCCTTGTTGTATACATTCTTAGGAGGCTCCCTGTATGCCCCTGTTGCTGTGAGGTTATCTGGGTTCTTACATGATTGAAATTGCCAGATCATAATAATTACAAGTGGAAAAATCATTTCTTCAAAATGAAAGGGGGATATAGGGATGGCTTGAAGCACCAAAAAGGAAGAAACAAGGGGTCATTACACAGCAAAGTTGCACAAAGCTACATGACACCATCCCTATATCTTTGTTTTATTGTTTATAAGCAAAGTTTCCCTTGAGCTAAGTATACATGCAAGACAACCTCTATTACAGAGCCGTATATAAAACAAAGATATAGGGATGGTGTCATGTAGCTTTGTGCAACTTTGCTGTGTAATGACCCCTTGTTTCTTCCTTTTTGGTGCTTCAAGCCATCCCTATATCCCCCTTTCATTTTGAAGAAATGATTTTTCCACTTGTTTCCACTATTTTTAACAGCTTCTGGCAACACTGCATTTATTGTTACAGTCACTCTGATGTTCATGGCTATGTTGTAGATAGGCTACCATAGACAAATTGAAAGTAGTAGCTAATGGCTGCTAGATACCATGTATTGTCTTCAACAAGGATGTAATTAGATTATTGCACATGGTTGTGGTTTCATTGGCAGGCTTTGGTAATCAGGCTACAACCTGGGGGGGACAAACAATGAAGGCCCATTTGACTGAGTGCCCCGCAAGGCTCGCGTAACACCGCGCAGACTCTGGCAAGTTGCTCTTCGTGCATATCAACAGCAAGATAGCCAGTTGGAAATGTGCACACTTACTTACAGAAGGTACTGGAGGCTGACAGTTCCTCTGCAGGTCTGCCAACTCGCCCGGTAGAATACGCTCGCAAGCACATTGGACAACGCCCCTGCCTGGCGCATGCGCGCGGATCACTGATGCTGAGTAAGCAGCAAATGGCGTTGTTCAGGTCGACCAGGGAAGAGCTCCATGATCTACCGTAGTGACTAGCGGCAAGAAAGAAACGATCGCTTGATGTCCGTGCACACCTCCGGCGAAATTGGAGACCTTCAGTGAAAAAATCAGTGCTTGAACTGGTACTGGTAAGGAGATAGCGGGTTTAAAGAAGAAGAAGAAGAAGAAGAAGAAGATGAAGAATATGATGACACGAAAATCGTGAAATCGCGTATGAGCGAATTCTCGCGTGGACGACTGAAGGTGCGTATGAGCTCTTGGGGGACATGTATAGGTAGATATGGGCCCGTAGACTATTGCTAGTATGTTTTGAAGGCCTAGGAAGTGATTCTCACCGAGTTTTTAGTCGTTTTGTACGCGGATCACGTGAGATTTCACCCGTGTCATCCCTATATAGAGAGTCTACCGACTCTCTAATGGTGTAGTATATTATATTACCAGTGCATCACCACATGTTGCAGGAGTGGTGATGTGTGCGTTCCATCTGGTGGGTTTCATTCTGCTCTTGCTGAGGTGGTTGTGTCCAGACCCATGATTATGGTTTCGTGTCATGATTACTTGGTAAACAGAGGATAGAGAGTAGATCCTCATTTTCGAACCAAGACCATTAGTCAGCAGTCACAGCTAGTCCTAACAAGGTAGATGCTAGCGAGCACTTCCTGCTGAGTGTAGGGGTAGTTCTAACATAAAGAGGCCATACAATTTCCCCATACTTTAGCTGTATGTCAACTTATTTCCATAAACCACAGTGGGTGTAAGGTAGTTATACCTAGCAATTTTAATTTTTACACAGCTGCCAAAACATAGAAAGCCACAAAACAAGCATTCAGTTACTGTCAGCTTTCTTGCTACTGTAACACAGTGCATTCGAGATCGCTGGAGAGAAAACGAGCCAGAGGGACAGCTATAAAACTTACGCGTGGGGTCCAGCAGCCAAAAAAAGTAGCTTTGACGTACCCGTTTTTGCTTATGAGTCAAAACTGTGCAGAAATAGTACAGGAGTCATGCACAGACCGTCACTACAT